TAGATCTAGTATTTACTTTGTATCCTACCGCTGTCACCAATGTTACGCAGGTTTTTGGTATCGCAATTTATTTCAACTCAACTTTTACAATAACTACAATTCAACTTTAACAATAACTATCTAAATGATAACATTAACGTTTAACGTCTATCATAAAACTGAAAACTGACGTAAGGATCATGCTTATATAGCTTGCTTGACCCTTCTCGAACCTTCTCGAACTGTCGTCTAGAATATTCTTGACGGGTAATGACATTTCCAGACATTACTGGAATATTCTATCTTCTTTTACTTGTACTTTTACTTATAACGACCGCAGCACACTGTAGGGCGATGAGTAACATTCCACTTCTTTTTCTATCTGTACGTTTCCTATAATAGCCGCAAGCTACTGCAGGGTGCTGCGTAACAGTATTTAAATATCCCAGATAATCAGTTTGCACACTCCTTATTATTTCATGCACGAGTCATGAACAGAATATCAGGAAGCAACGATAAAGATGAAGATCCTAGTGAGACAGTATTAGATGTAGCTGGTGGGAGTTCTAGTACATCAATTTTTTATGAGGGACTAGATGATGATGATAAGTCGCTTAACGAGATTAAGCTCCATCGTAAAAACGTGTCACGTGAAAGCCTTCCATTCTGCTCGAACACAAAAGTAATGAACATTTAGTCCTACCAACAAACTACACAATTGATAATGTTTTATGTCATCATATTATCCTGATTTGATTGATCCCAGGCAACGGAAACACATTTTTGAGCACATCGTCAATGATTTAATTAGTGCTGGTTTTGAGCTAAATAATCAAATGGTGATGAGACAATGGAAAAGCTTGTTACGTTCCTATAATAAAGCTAAAGGCAATAAAAACCGTACCGGTAGAGGTCCATCAAATTTTTTATTTTATGAATCTATTGATGATGTGAATGATAATGGTGTTGAAGAGGAAAATGGCTGTCAGGTATTAAATAAAACCATGAATCAAAATAGAAAAAAAAAGAAAAGGCGCTTAAGTGTCAAACAAATTAAAAAGAAATACGCGGAAATGAAAAGAACACGAAAAAGGTCAAAAAAGGCATGATGTTAAAATGAAAGTTGAAAAAGATTGAAATGAAATAGAAAGAAAGAAAGTTATATTATTAGAAAAATATTGAAGTGGCAAAAAATAAAACAAGTATTGTTAAAAGTTGTTTTTTAGTGTGCATTTTTAATAAATAAATTACTAAAAACATTTTTATCTAAAATTTTATTTTGGTAATATCAATAATAATAAATACAATAGAACGTCGATAATCCGAATTAATTGTGACCGGACCCTGTCTGGATTTTCGAAAAGGGCGAAAAAAAGTCGTTTAAGTTCATAACAAAAAGAAAATCTGCTAAATCTGTTAATAAGTTTTTATTGGTACACCCTGTATACGTATTTTGTACAATATGTATTTACAGAATACTATAGTTTATAAATTTTCAGAGCTCCTAAAAAAATGTTATTGATTTTTAAATAGACAATAAAATGTTAACTTTATAGTAATATACATACTAAAAGGATTCACATTTTATCAGTTCAGGCAAATATTTTATTAAACACTTGCAATTTAAGTGCTGCGCAAAAGAAACTTACCACAATGAAAACCAAAACGTGGTTAAATATATCTTCCGAGGAGCTCCTACAACAGGAGATTACACCGAAACACAACCCATCCACACACTGTTGCAGTTTAAACAAGGGTTGTTTCTGAATATCCCAATTATCGATGGAAAAGAACCCACTAATAAAATTCGAAACACCCTTTTCAAAAACCCACGTGTTGTCTCCTCAAATCGATGTTGGACACTTCCAAACAACCACCAATACCAACCTACCTCAGTGGAAAATTAACGTCCCCGCAGCGCCCTCTATTATAAAATAAATTCTTGACGGAAACAGTTAAAATAAACGAACAAACCTCTAATGCGAAATAAATATCCTAGCTAAACTTAAATAGATGTCCTACCTACCCAAAATTGAATATATACCAACAGTTACCGACGTGGCGGAAACGCAAAACAGTCATCTTGCATTTTGAATACAAAGTAGCTACCCACTCGCGACCAAAGTTTTTCAAACAACCTTGCCACTATGGAAAATTACAAACGTTACAATCTTCAAATAATATCAAATGAATGACATCAAATTAATCATAAAAAACTACATTATATTTAAAGGTGTCCAGTGAAAACCAGACATTGTTATCTCAAATACCTTTTGAGATTCACTGGGTTAAAATAAACTTAGCCACCCGGTATCAAACTTATTTTGGACATCTCATTTTTAGTAAAACATTTTTTGTGTGTGTCATTATCGGCTTCAACTACTCTGGTTATTTCGTCTCTTGTTCTGTGTAGGCTTTGTTACTGTTTCCCAGCGCCACTTGAAATTTAAAATAATTAAATTAAATGAAAAAATCCCGGCCAACGGTATAATTCGAACCTGAGACCCTTGTATCCTTAGGCAGAGACTCTACTACAGAGTCACTAACCTCCCTTTTTTGGTGTTGAGTCCATTCTTGAGAACTATCTCAAAAACATCACCCGTGAGAAATTATCAATCGATCAATCAATCAATCAATCAATCAATCAATCAATCAATCAATCAATCAATCAATCAATCAATCAATCAATCAATCAATCAATCAATCAATCAATCAATCAATCAATCAATCAATCAATCAATCAATCAATCAATCAATCAATCAATCAATCAATCAATCAATCAATCAATCAATCAATCAATCAATCAATCAATCAATCAATCAATCAATCAATCAATCAATCAATCAATCAATCAATCAATCAATCAATCAATCAATCAATCAATCAATCAATCAATCAATCAATCAATCAATCAATCAATCAATCAATCAATCAATCAATCAATCAATCAATCAATCAATCAATCAATCAATCAATCAATCAATCAATCAATCAATCAATCAATCAATCAATCAATCAATCAATCAATCAATCAATCAATCAATCAATCAATCAATCAATCAATCAATCAATCAATCAATCAATCAATCAATCAATCAATCAATCAATCAATCAATCAATCAATCAATCAATCAATCAATCAATCAATCAATCAATCAATCAATCAATCAATCAATCAATCAATCAATCAATCAATCAATCAATCAATCAATCAATCAATCAATCAATCAATCAATCAATTAATCAATTAATCAATTAATCAATCAATCAATCAATCAATCAATCCATTTTTTATATTTTTCGTTGATTCTTTTCCATGCTGAGTTTTGTCTTGTTTTGTCTGATTCTTGGACTGTGTTATCTTGATATTTATAATAAATAACATTTGAATAATTTGTAAATTATACATATTACCTAATTAAAACGAAGTGACTTAATTAGCAATATTGCATTCCTAATTCATAAATTTTATTCGTCGCCGTCATATCTTTTTTTACTTTCTCGTTATATCTTGAAGTGACAATTTATTAAATTTCAAGATTTCTTCGAGCTGCTCGGGGAGGGGGTAAATACTCTATTACCCCCTGGTATCCGCTCCTGATCCAACAAACTTTACCCAGTATACAACTTCCTACGCCAAAAAATGTGTTACGTCAAAAGAAATGACAACGATACACAATTAACTATTTGGAACGTAAGCACTTTTTTCTTCGTAGTAGTAAATAAGTGTGTTACCATAAGTAATTAATATATAACACCAAAATAAACTCGCTGCAGTTTTATTCATGCTCTTCTCCATAGTTATATAAACAAACTAATATTTACCCAATCACTGGGCGCAACACTTGATAGCTATCCACTGGTTTAGTATCAGAGATACAGTAAAATTTTGAATGATCCACAAAAAGTATTTCGGAAGTAGGCCACGGAAAAATCAGATATGCGCAATTCTTATTCGTTTTTAAATGATAGTTTGGATTTAGTCCAGACACGTTCGTAGTTATCACATACGTGACTCGTATCCCTGTCTGCTCACTGATCACTCCATAGAAATGTAATGTTATAAAATGTTAAACAAACGACTACTAAAATGTTTTTCTTTGAATCGAGTAGGTATGTACTAAAAATATATGAATGAAAAATGAAACATTTAAATAAAAAAAAAAATGAAATATTGAACCCATCCCGTTAGAAAATCAGTAAGACAAATGGCAGACATGTATTTCTGACTAATGGTCTTTGTCAGGAGGGGAGAGTGCTGTATATTGAAGCGATTGCACCTTGGATCAGTTTCAATATTTATAATTTTAAATATTCAAATTGAATACAGTTGACAATTCTTTAAAAGGATGTCAGTAAGATACAGTTTAATTAAACAAATTCCTGAGACATTGAGCTTTATATTTGAAGGGGTTAGAATAGAAAAGGTATGAGTTCAATTTTTTTACATTAGGAGATAAGTGCGTTTTGTGAAAGATGAGAGTGCGATGTATTGAAATAAAAAGGATTTAAGTAATTTTCAATACTCCTAGCGACATTTGTTATCCAGTGGAAAAATCAAGTGAACAAACGTGCATATTTGTTTAGAATAAGAAGGGTACAAATGCACTTGTACCCATTTTATTCCAACCAGTTTGTTGTAACAAGTGCACGTACTCCGACTGAAGTTTGTTTTGCAAAAGTTTTTGTTTGTTTCGTACACCGATCTTTTGCTAATTAGTTATGGAAAATGATGAAGGTAAGTTCCCATGTCATATGATAATAAATATCTATTATTATTTTTAATTACCAAAAATCTGATAACTGCAATGTTTAAAAAGATAAAGTAAGGTTATGATAATATACGGTTATTTTTATTACTTTTCTGTATTAATAAATTATTGAATTATTTACGCTAAACATTTGAAATTAGGCTTGTTATTAGAATAACTAATTGTACCGCCAATTTATTGAACTTATTTCTATAGTTGCAATGATTTGTTCGACTTTTAAAGCTCATGTTTTATTATCTTACTTGCAGGCCCATATGCGACTGATGAAGATGAAAAATACACTCCCTCGGATACTTTGTCAACTTCAGACACTGAAGAAGATGAAAATAGTAATGGCAGTGTTTGCAGCAGCACCCATTCAGATACACGCGATGATGCCCATGTTACGCCAGTCAAAGCTAGAAAAAGACAAAAACGTCCATCTGAATGGAAGATTAAGCAAAGAAAACGCCTTAGAACTCAAGGTAAAGAGTATTTATCTAATAACAAGGTATGTCAAAGCAAATTATTGCAACCATATCAACATAGCTGTCGATATAAATGTAACATGAACATAAATGAAAAACAGAGACAAGAACTTCTTACAGCCTACTACAATCTACCTTCTTATGACTATGACCTTCAGACTGCATTTTTATCGTCATGCATTAAAAAAGTGAATGTCAGTAGAAAAAAAAACAAACAGCAATATAGAACGAAAATTCAGCACCAATATTTTTTTGCTAAACAAGCGTGTTTGAAAAATTTATTTTTAAGTCATTCAATATCTTAAATAAAAGATTTACTACTTTTTGCTCCAAGACAAATCACCTTAGTGAAGCAGAACCTAATAAAAGAGGAAAGGGACAAACTCATAGAAGAATGAGTCATGAGCGCCTAGCTTTTGTAATTAGCCATATACAATGATTTCCGTGATACCGAAGTTACTATTCCCGGAAAGAAAATGCTCAAACGAAGTACCTGTCGCCTGATTTAAATAAAAAAGTTCATGTACAACCTATATACAGCTACCTGCGATGAAGAACCAAATACCCGTGAAGATATCATTCAGACACTTGTTCCCGTTGTGAATCTTATGAAAATATTATAAAATGCTCAACAGATAAACCTAAAGTCGCAGAGAGCAAAGTTCAGCTAGCAGTCCATCAAAGACGAGCTGAAAAAGCAGTGACTGTGAAGAAAAACGACATCGAAAAGCATATATTTTCGGGAGATACAGTGGTTGTATACTTTGATCTTCAACAGTCTTTGCCAATGCCACTTTTAACAACTTCGAAGGTGTTTTATTTAAGACAGTTATGGACATATAATTTTTGCTTTTACGATTTAATAAACAATGAAGCTAATATGTATGTTTGGTCTGAGGACATAGCTTCAAGAGGTTCTCAGGAAATTGAATCCTGCTTAATCAGGTTTAACAGGTCCCTTCCACCTAATGTTAAAAGAATGATTGCCTATAGCGATTCACGCGAGGGTCAAAGCAGGAACAAGAACATAAGCAAACTTTATGTTTTTGGTGAAAGCCACACAACTTGAAGAAATTGACGACACATTTTTAGAACCCGGGCATACATATATGGAGTGCGACAGGTCCTTTGGACTGATGGAAAAATATAAAAGGAAATTCCCGCAAGTATTTTTACCACAGGACTGGAGTAATGTAATAAGATCAGCTTCCAAACGCTTTAAAGTACATGATATGACCAAGGAACATTTTTATTCATTTGCTCATCTTAATTACATCATAAGCGACCCCAAGAAGGACGCAGAGAACAAAAAACTTTAGGCAGATTTCTCACTTCAAATATACAAAATACTCGGAAACATATTCTTTTTAGTTTAAGCTCACAATAGATGATGATTTCCCCTTTTTGACATGCCACTGTCCTTTTTTGGGTAATGGTCGACCACCCACCGATTTGCAGAAAATATTCTGCTCCATGTTAAACGAAAATTCTGTCTCTATTTCGGTAGAAAAGTGGAAAAATTTACAGACATTGTTAGAGTTTGTACCACCAGTATATCACAGCTTCTATAAAAATCTCAAAAAAGGAAGAAAAAATTATAGCACCAAGGGCAAGAAAACGAAAAATAAAACTTCCAAAACTACTGTTTTGAGTTCGTCGACGTCAAAAAGACACAAAATATTGTTTTAAGTGACTCTGATTCCGAATCTGATCAAGACGTGGATGATATGCTTCTTACCTCTGATTCCGACAGTAATGAATAGAAATCTTATTATTGTATCTTTTCACACTTTGTGAATAAAGTTTGCTTTTTAAACCAGCATTTACTTTATTTTTTACTTTACAAGGCAAATTTTTTGGAATAAGAATGGTATGTCCTCTTTTTTTCAAAAATTATTTGTGGTTTTAAACACTAATTGTAGAACTAAAATCCAACTATTTTTTAATTAATTAAAATGATTCAAAATATTACTACAAAAAATTACTGACTTTTTATAGTAACATAACTTTAACTTCAAATATCTCCAAACAATGAAAATGTTACTTATGCCCTTTTTATTCTAACCCCTTCATTTGTGAACGTTTTAATTGTTTTGATTTCTTCATGTAAACTATTTGAGGTTATTTTAGTCAAATATTAAAAATATGTTTAAGTATGAAGTTTAAGCAACGCTATTATTACAGGTAAGATAACAGATAACTATTTTGTATCTTTTAAACAATACCTGTATTAAAATAAATTCATCCAAATTTTAACAAAGTTAGAGTAACAGAATGGAAAAAAATACCTATCATGTAGGTACCTTGGACCGCTTCACTTTGTATCGCATAGCACTATAGGTACCTGCAGTATATTAAGTTTCCCACAATGACGTTAGAAGAACAGTATAGAATAAGCGATGTTATTTATTAGCGAGAGGTAGAACAATGCGCGCCAGCCAACTAGTGGTAAAGGTGTATCCATTTGTCCACTTACGAGTTAAAAACATTGATATTTAAAGTAGTAAGGTTAAACCGGAAATTTTGAAAGTCAGTAGGGATCTAAGTTGGAAGAAATTATTCAAGAAAATCGAAACCGTAAGACAATTGGATCTTTTCTTCTATAGTTAACGTGGCGACGTATACCCACAGACGACCAGACGATTTTTTTAAATTTCTTTACTTACAGTGTTCGTAAATGTGAAGAAAAGTGTATTAAATAGTGGGGGTAACAAAATTTTTTCAGCGGCACTAATGCAATTATTGAGGCCCTATAGGTAGAGGGCACAGTAATATTTATCAATTTCTGAAACAGGAAAATTCCCCTTTCAAATCTTATTATCGACCACTATCACTAATACAAATTCACGAAAATTAAGCTACCGAGCGATTCTCCATCCTTGTCTGGCCAGGTGCCGTGCAAAGGCATCTGTAAATAGAAGCGCTCGTGGGAACGTTCTCAATCTCGAGTCCCACGACAAGACCCTCCGTCGTCAAGTCAGCCGTGCTGCACGGCTCGTGTTTTGTTTCTGTGGCGGCAAGGAGGCAGGCATCAGGCAGGCATCTTATACCGTATATCTAGTTGGCGCGGGCCGGACGCTCGACCGACGGACGTGGCTTCCCATTCTACAAGGGTTGCTTGATCGTTTGGACGTTCGGTCGGTGTCAAATAGCCATTGTCGAGTCTTCTTCTTTTCTTCGAGGGGGTCTTGTGTTTTACAAGGGACGACGGGTTTAGGGAGACAATAGAAGCGATAAGTTGGCAGAAATGGGCTGTGGGCTATTGCTATTGTATTATTTATGGACTTGTTTTCGGATAAAAATGTAACCAGTTCAACTTGGCAACTTTTTTATAACTATGATTATGACTTAGTGTAATCGCTAGCATGTATGAAAAGGGTTATTTTGTGACGTAAATTCTTATACAGGGTCGTTACTCTTTCATAGGGACAGTATTGCTATATCTTAATCAATAACAGATAGAAAGTTGGTTAAATTAGACAAGAATTGCACATTTTTGTGCTAAATAAAATATTGCCAAGAAACATTTGATATCTACAGGGAGATTTAAAATATCGGATGAAAAATTAAAATTATTATTTTTTTAAATTTATTTATTTTTTGTCCGATATTTTGAATCTCCTTGTAGATATCAAATGTTTATTGGCACCATTTTAATGAGCACAAAACTGCGCAACTTCTGTCCAATAAAGGACCCCGCAATAATCTTATGGAAATTGGGTTTCTGTCCAATTGTCTGAATTTTTGATATGTTGTAGATTTTGTCATCCTGAACAAAAGTCTCCATGGGCACAAAGTGTCAAAATTAATATTTTGGCATCTACGGAGCTGCCAAAGCTCCCCTGACCCGTTGCAAAACTATTCATTTTCAATACTATTAACAGATGTCAAAAGCATATTTTTATTATTCGTAATAGGCGATTTTAAATCAGATACTATGTCTTGAATATGATTGACTACACTGATATAAATCATAAACAATGACGTCATATTGAATATTTTCTTAAAATAGTCAAGTTTAACATGACTACAGTAAAAAGGTGATCATCACCAATGACATAATATGTCATTGGTTATCACAGGTATGAAATGACAAATGTAAAACTTTTACTTTTTAATTATTAAATCATTGTTTGGTTGTGTTATTTGTAAAATAGAAAGATTTACGAAAGGGAAAAGTGGGACAATGGTGAAGATAGGGTATCAGGTTAAAAAAACAGGTATTTTTATAAAATAAGCTCCTTTTTTGTAGAGATCTAAAAAAAGGTCCTCCGCTTATATTTATTTAAACCATCAGATTCCTTTTTCTGAGCTTCTCAAAAACAGGTCAAACATTGTCAAAAATATCATTATATATAACTTTGAATTTAAAAAACGTAGCAATAAGGCAAAATGCGGAGCATTTTTGTACTTTGGCGTAACGCGTGCCAGCAAGTTAAAAAGCGGGACAATTACGCCTAAAGCGCGACGTCTGGCAACCCTGGCTGAGTACCTAGATATGGACGCATTTAAGGTTTCTGCAAATGAAAAGCAAATTTATTTTCAAGGTAGGATTTATTAATGAACATGGCTAAAGTTTTGATAAAAAATCAGAGGCCAAAGTAACTATAATACCAATTTTCTCTTCATCCATGATCAGTAAACAAAACAAATATTTATTTTTTCTACACCCGTATTATAATAATGCACTTATATGCCCATAATCCGTTTCATAATGATACCCATTATGATACAGATTTTTCATTACGATACAGATTTTTAATCAATAGAAACCTACAATTTTTCAATCAAGCATGCTGTTTGACGTTTGTCCTAGGTTCCTATGTAATTATTTTAGTTGTCAAAACGTATTAAATTTTCGTAGGTAGCTAAACTTCGATAATTATAATATTAAAATGTCTGATATTAGCGATATAGAAGACTCCTCCACACATATCGGAGAAAGCAGAAAATACAGTACAAAATATTTTACCGCAAAAATCTAGGGAAATACCAATACCTGAAGTAATACCATTAATTACAATTTTGTAGAATTTTTTATAGAAATACGAGTAATTACTGTTATTGTGTTCAATACCAATATAAATATAATATTTATAGGTCTTGATTATTTATCGGGTGTAGAAAAAATAGCGTATGCAACTCTCATGTAATGGTTATTAAAACACTCGCATAAACCATACGAAACTCGCCTTTGGCTCGTTTCGTATCCCGGTTAATGCTCGTGTATTAATAACCATCATTACATGATCGTTGCATAATATACTATTTTATCCCTACAAATTCAAAAACAAATCCTACTACTATTACATAACACACAAACAAAAATTCATGATACCTGCCAATGTTATACCCATTGTGAAGTTAGTGTCAATATAAACCAAACATTTTTAAATCAGATTATTAGAACGTCATTATAATGACGTAAGAACCTTGACCACACTTGACTTGGTCACATTTCTAGTAACTGATTTAAAATCGCCTAATGTTTTTGAGGTCACTGGATTCAATCCTCACGTCAGATTGGACAAATTGACCGTTGACAGCTGTCAATTCACGGTCAACGAGGAATATAACAGTAAATATCTTCTTTTTACATTGAGAGTTTGGGTTTTTGAGGTCGCTGAATTCAATTCTCATATCAAATTGACAGTTGACAGCAAAAAGAGGATATTTACTTTCATATTCCTCGTTGACCGTGAATTGACAGCTGTCAACGATCAATTTGTCCAATCTGACATGAGGGTTGAATCCAGTGACCTCAAAACACATACTTTGATTTTCTTTATTATACGGTGCAAGAAAGAGGTCCGATACGCCCAACATAGGGTGCGGCTATTTTGAACCCTATGACACAGTTTATAGCTAAATAATCAGATCGCTCACTCTGCGTCGGCACTTTTTATCTCAATGTTCCAGTTTATACACTGCGCAACTCAAATAATACAATATATCCCAGACAGCACACCAAATCCTTTGGATATCTACTGAACATCCCAATATCCACTGAATGTCCAGTCCATGGTGGATATCTATTTTATATCCATGAAATGTAATTTATAGACATGC